CTGACCAACATAAAGAAACCCCATCTCTACCAAAATTACAAAATTAGCCGGGTGTGGTGGCACATGCCTGTAATCCCAGCTACTCAGGAGGCTGAGGCAGGAGAATTGCTTGAACCTGGGAGGTGGAGGTTGCAGTGAGCCAAGATCGTATATATATAAATATATATGTGTGTGTGTGTATATATATATATATATATATATTCCTCCCTTCAAAAGGCGGAAGCTAATTCCCCTTCCCTTGAATGTGGGAATAATAAAAGCAGGGAAAAAATGACAGCAGGCACACAGTTAGGATTCCATTTCAGGGGCATTTAGCACACGGGGCACCCAGGTGGAGAAACTTGATTCAGATTCTGATTAGACTAGTAAGTTGATGGTCTTTAACTAAAGGTTTGATTTTACCCTATAGAAAGTAAAAATCCAGTGACGCATTTTAAGCAATGGTGTTGTGTGCTTAGAAAGGTCCTCAGGGAAACCAGATACCATACAGATGAATTCAGTTGTAACACATTTGCTGTAAATCCATAGCAGTCCACGTTTTCATAGTTCAGTCATCTGGGGAAACTAAGTTTCAGCTCCATGTTGTTTTAATTCCGTACATTACCTTTAATTAGCTGTGGTATCTTGAGCAAATCATTTAGTTCTTTGGGGCCATGGAGCCTCAATACAGTCCTCTAAAATGGGGACAATAAAACCTACCTCTGAAATTGTTTGGGGATTAAGTAAGAGGATGATAATAAGGTGCCTGGCGCCTTGGTGGCGGTGAGTAAGTTGTAGTGATTATTGCTTAGACCACTGGTGCTCAACAAGATGATATTTGGCAATATTTGGAGACATTTATGTTTTTTACCACTGAGGCTGAGGCTGGGAGTGGTGCTACTGATGACTAGTGAGTAGAGGCCAGGTGCTGCTAAACATCATATAATGCACAGGACTGCCACCCAGAACCAAAAATTGTCTGGCTAAAAATGTCACTAGTGCGGAGGTTGAGAAATCCTGATTTAAAATATAACCCAAACCGGGTGTAGTGGCGGAGGCCTGTAGTCCCAGCTATTCAGCAGGCTGAGACAGGATCGGTCGAGCCCAAGTTCAAGTCCACCCTGAGTAACGTAGTGAGAGCCCGTTTCTAAAAAGTAAAATATAGTCCAACCATGAGTATGTTAATATTATTCCCGTGTTATAGGACCCTTTTAAATAATGAGTCAGAGTTAATAATGGGGTGCAATAAAAAAGAGATGTGATACTTTCACAAAATCTCAGGGCTTGGTGAGTATAACTCCAAATCTTCCTGAAACCACCCTCCATCACCCTAATTCCTAAATGCTCACAGTCATTACCACTGATAATTTATCTCTTCCAAGGCTTCTAGCCTTCAATTTCCTTGCATCTGAAATCTGCTCTTAAACTCTTCAGTGACTTACTTCTAAGGAAGACAATGTGGTAGCAGTGATGCATGTCACTTACAAGATTAAGCTATATAAAGGCATTGTGGCTTCCTCTTTGCTCTCTTTCAGTTCATTTGGTTGGGAGAAGCCAGCTGCTATATTGCGGGTATGGCAAGTAACTCAGGCTTTCAGCAAGTAGCCAGTAAGAAACTGAGGTCTGTTGCCAACAGCCATGTAAGTTAACTTAGCAGTAGATCCTCTGTCACCAGCCAAACCTAGAGAAAAAAACCTTCAGACAAGTGCAGCTTCATGAGATAATCTAATCCAGAATCACCCAGCTAAGACTCCTAAATTCCTGACCCACGAGGATGGTGAAATATTTATCATATTATTTATTATCTGTAGTTGTTTCAGGCTTTTAAATTTTGGAGTAATTTGTTACACCACAATAGATAACTAGGACACAATGTGAAGTTGTCATTAAGTATATAGTAATTGCAATAACATAAATTGGAGATTGAATCTTGGAAACATTATTCCAGGCTTCCATTGACAGTAAAAAGTGGGGTAAAGATAGATACTGCAAATTATATTTGTCTTAATTATAAGAAGAGGGGAGAATAGTGTGCCACAGAGGTTTTCTTCTATGGGAGAATTTTCAACATGCACCATGTAGGGGTGGAAAGATGTGATACCTTTCCTCATCCATCATGAGTCATGGCTGACACTCATATAACAAAAGAGCAGATTAGCACAAGGAAAGCATTACAGATTTATTTAATCAATTTTACACGACCATGGAAGCCTTAGGAAAGGAAGACTTAAAGACCCAGGAAAAGCTGCCTATTTTGAGGTTTAGGTTTGATGCAGAGCAGACAGCCAGGCAGAAACGTGACTGGACAAAAAGGATATGATCAACCTAATGGTAATAGAGAGGAGAAATGGGTCAAGTCATGTCTATTCAGTCTTTTCGGCCTGTGATATTCCTTCCTCCAGGATATGGAGCAGGGTCCCTCTGGAACAAAAGTCTTGAAAGCCACTATCAGATAAGGTAGGTCAGAGAAACTCTTTGTGGCCAGCTCCTACAGAAAGGCACGGGAAGATTAGAGTAATATTTCTAGATTTTATGACTGGCTTTGGGGGCAAACGGGCTCTAGCTTTTCTTTCTTTCTGAGACACAGTCTTGCTCTGTCGCCCAGGCTGGAGTGCAGTGGTGCGATCTCAGCTCACTGCAAACTCTGCCTCCCGGGTTCAAGCGATTCTTGTGCTTCAGCCACTCAAGTAGCAGGGATTACCAGCATGTGGCACCACATCCAGCTAATTTTAGTATTTTTAGTAGAGATTAGGTTTTGCCATGTTGGCCAGGCTGGTCTCTAACTCCTGGCCTTAAGTGATCCACCTGCCTTGGCCTCCCAAAGTACTGGGATTACAGGCATGAGCTGCATGCCCACTGTGCTCTAGTTTCTCTGACCCATTTTGGAAAAGAGGAATTCTAGTTTCTATGGCTTGCTTTGGGGAAGAAAGGAGAGCAGGAGAAAGAAAGGCAGGAGAAGGTCAGAAAGATCTTCTGAGCCTCTTTTCTGTAGTTCAAAGTATTCAACACGCCAAAGTGCCACACTTTGGGTTCTCATTTTCTTTTCTTCTTTTTTTTTTTTTCTCCTTTTTTGAGACAGAGTCTTGCTCTGTTACCCAGGCTGGAGTGCAGCGGCATAACCCCGGCTCACTGCAACCTCCGCCTCCCAGGTTCAAGCAATTCTCCTGCCTCAACCTCCTGAGTAGCTGGGATTGCAGGCACATGCCACCATGCCCGGCTAATTTTTTGTATCTTTAGTAGAGATGGGGTTTCACCATGTTGGCCAGGCAGTGTCAAACTCCTGACCTCGTGATCCACCCACCTCGGCCTCCCAAAGGGCTGGGATTACAGGTGTCAGCCTGGGGTCTCATTTTCTGAGTCCCAATAATCATTACATTTTTTTTTTGAAGTTTTTCCTTAAAGTTCTTCCACCCTCATTTTCAGAATATTTATTGTAGACTCTGTGATTTTGGTCTGCCTAGCGTTTTCTCCTTCTAGACAAGGAAAGGGAGAACACCTCTTCTGCCTTTGGTATCTCCATTCCGTGTTGTTCATGTGACTTCACTGGCTCTTCCTTAGGGGCTTCTGAAATCAAACTTGTCAGCTGGGATCTTTTATCAGGACTGACACAGATGAATGACAACATATGCTTTCTTGAGGAGTTGTCCTTGCTGCCCTGTGGCTGTTGGGGTATCGTAATGAGAAGAACTTGCCCAAAAATGAAGCTAATACACAGAAAAACTGAGTTGAAAGAGCTACACCAGGAGAGGGGAGGGAAGAAGGGGACAGAGAGAGAAAGCTTATTTTAGTCCCTGCCACATTGGATCCAGCAACATGGTTCTGCTTGCATCTAGATCTTTTATTTCCATATAAACAAAATAGATTTAAAATAAAATTCATGATACGAATTCCTGAGAGCAACTGAAATATTTGCTTGTGACAGGGGTGCTATAGATAGTTTGTTTTCTCTCTTTGGCGATGGTGGTGCTGTTGCTCAGGCTCATAGGGCTGTGCTGTGTCCCTATAGGACATGACGGAGTTGTTAAACTATTTAGCAATCTTCCTGTAACATTGCTTTATTGTCGCTGAAACAGACTTAATGTAATAATGCTCTAATTAATTAGCTGAATAAACCTTTAACACGTTTTCATTCTATTTTGAAACAGTCACGTTCTTAACGCTCTTTGACAAGTCCTTATATTTCTATTAACTTGACCCACAGCGTCCTTTTCAGAAGTCCTCTCAACTGTCCCCTGCCAACAGGTTCTTTCAGGATCTCTTGGGCGTGCTCTGCCCCAGGGAGTTCTGATGGGAAGACTATATTGACTACAGCTGAAATGCCGGTACAGAAAAGCCTAGACTTAGGAGCAAACGAACTCAGCTCTCATCTCCATTATCTGGTGTTTGGGCTGAGTGGAGAAAGGTGATCCCCAAGCTCGGCTTCTCCAGCTTCACTGAAGCCGGGGTCCCAAAGGAGAGCGCAGGCGTGAGCAGCAACCCGGCACCGGGCTAGCGTCCCGAGCCTGTGCACCGGGCCCTTTTCTTTTTCTTTCTTTTTTGTTTGTTTGTTTTGTTTTTGATTTGTTTTTGTATTTGAGACGGAATCTCGCTCTGTCGCCAAGCATGGAGTGCAATGGCGCAATCTCAGCTCACTGCAACCTCCGCCTCCTGGGTTCAAGCGATTCTCCTGCCTCAGCCTCCCAAGTAGCTGGGATTATAGGCACACGCCACCACACGCAGGTAATTTTTGTATTTTTAGTAGAGACGGGTTTCATCATGTTGGCCAGGTTTGTCTCGAACCCCTGATCTCAGGTGATCCTCCAGCCTCTGCCTCCCAAAGTGCGGGGATTACAAGCGTGAGCCACTGCGCCCGTCCAGCACCAGGCCCTTTTCTTACTTTGGCCATCCTGTATTTGAGGTTGCTGTCTGGGCTCTGCTCCTACCCGAGGGCACCCCTGGAGCAAATTCTCGGAGCGGCCTGGGCAGGGCGGGCCGGGTGAGGGCGCGCTTGGGGCCTGGAGGCGGAGTCGGGGGCGGGGCGCGCCGTCACCTGACTTGGTGACTCACCAGCTGCCGCGCTTCCTCCGACCCGGGCCCCCGGGCGGAAAGTCGGGTCCCGAGGATCCGGCTAGGCAGACCCGGCGGAGAGCAGCCGAGCGGCCATGGAGCTGCGCGGGCTGGGGCTGCTCCGGCTGCCCATGCTGCTGGCGCTGCTGTTGGCGACGCTGCTGGCGGCAGTGTTGGCGCTGCTTACTCAGGTGGCGCTGGTGGCGCAGGCGGCTCGGACCCCGGGCGTCTTGGTCCAGCCCGGGCCGGCGCTGTGGCCCCTGCCGCTCTCGGTGAAGATGACCCCGAACCTGCTGCGCCTCGCCCCGGAGAACTTCTACATCAGCCACAGCCCCAATTCCACGGCGGGCCCCTCCTGCACCCTACTGGAGGAAGCGTTTCGGCGGTGAGCACTCCCGGCCCTGCCGGGAGTTGTCCTGGGGAAGGGGAGAGGCGGACCATGCCGGGGAGCTGTGCAGACGAGGAAACCGCCCCGGGGCGGGCAGGCGATCTGCCCAGCGCCACACGGATCGAACCCACGCTCTTGCCCCCACCCTCCTCCTGCTTCTTAAGGGACACCTTGGGTGCTCAGGAACCCTGGTTGAAGAGCAGGATACTAAGTGGAAGAGACGTTGCTCTGAGGCCTTGTTGGGCAAATGACATGGATGGAGGGGACACCGTTTCCCCAGGTTCAGAGCTGGGGAGAAAAGTGACAGCTTATTTGAAGGGCGTCCTAAAAAGGGATGATAAGTTACCCGAAGGGTTTAGACAGGCTCTGTTGAGGTACCAGGAATTCCCCAAAGCTGGCTGTCATTTATAGGCCAGTTTCACCCCCTTGCCACTCCTCAGATCTCCTAGTAACAACTCAGATGGCAGAAGTCATCAGTTTCGAGCACTGACTAAAACTCCCCTCCCTCCTAAAGTCCCTGTTCCATATAAAATGTGAGATGTTTGCATCTGTGTTTATGCCGCCGGTGGTTAGGCAATATGGGACTTCGTTTCTCAACACCAATCATGTATCTGCTCTCCCTGCTTCCTCTTTTACAGACCCCTAGTTGGCGCCTCTATCTCTCTTGCCCTTTGGCTGCCCACAGGGTAAATTTTGTCATGGGAGTCAGCCAGTCACACGGTAGACAAGACAGGTTCCCCTGAGGAGATGTTTGAAGAAGCCACACACTGTCCTGTCAGTGGGAGGCCTGTGTAGGTGGGACTGTCCTGAAGGTGTGTCGTGCCCAGCAGAATTGTAATTTGGTGCTAGCTGTACTGCCCCCTGGCATCCCTTGAGCGCGTCGCTGTACCCGGTGGATACTATAGAGCTTAATTGTGCTTGCAGGATGCTGAGCAGGTGGAGAGGAAATGCAGAGCTAATTGAATAACGTGTTCTGACCCCAGATAGGACTGGTGCCTAGGCTCAGGCTAAAGAGGCTCAAGATGTTGACAGCAGAGATGGTTCATTCTCTACAGTCAGAAGGCTCATGCTTTCCTTCTGTTTTGTACAACTAAATGTATATTATCAGTCCTGTTTTAGACACACACTCGAATGGGCCTTTGGTATGCAATCTGCTAAGGCCACAGAGGGGTGAAGATGTAGAACCAAAGTGTCTGGTTGCATTGGGATAGTCAGGAAGATTGCCTGGAAAGTACTTGAAGGTTGTCTCAGAAGATCATGACTAGGGTTGGAAATACTTTTAAAAACAAACACCCTTATTATGTTTGCCTTGGAGCTCAGCTTATAGAATTGGGTTTTCTTTCTGTGTCATACTACTAAGTCAAACAAGGACTTGGTAATATGCTGAACTCAGTATGACAAGAAAGCATGGGTGATGTAAGTTAACAATAGGTATATAACCAGGACTTGAATCAGCTGTGAGATGGTTCGAAGGCAAGGCTTGGCATTTCAAGGCAGGTGCAGGTAATTACCTGAGGAGTTTGCCTAATTCATGGCCTCTGTGTGAAGCAGCCATTGATTATGCCTGGCATTGTTAGGAAGCAAGTCATAAAATGTATTAGCCCTTATGGCTAAGACTTGAAGGCATGCATGTGATCATTCTAGGAACTCAGGAGGGCAGCAGCTATTTCAGAGTAAAAGCGCAGTGGGGTTGGAAGGATTTGGAAATATGGGGGTGTTCAGAAAGCGCTGCATGGTCAGGAAGACACACAGCCTAGGCCCCAGATTGTTCAGAATCATATTGCTCCTGTCTCTGAAGAGCCCGTTGTATCACAAACCCTGCTTTGAAACAGAATGCTTTTTGGAGGCAGAGGGTTTGGCTGTTAGATACATAGCTACTGCGTCAGCTTCTAGAAGAGCGTCCACCGCATGCTAGTCACTTGCTTTTAAAAATAAATGAATAGCTTCACTCCTTCATTTCCTGGAAGGCTAAATTAACCCACATACCTTTGACATACTGCCTCACAGCCCTTTGAGTTTTCTGTTAGAATTTTACTACCTAGGGTCAAGGTTCCAATTCAGATCTCGAAGCTGCTGGCAGCTTTAATTATCTTTTAAAATTTTTTTTATTTTTAACTATGGCAAAATAGACATAAAATTTACCATCTTAACCTTTTGTAAGTATTTCAGTGGTCTTAATTTCCTGTTTAATCTGTCAAAATTTTCCTATGAGAAGGGCCCTCAACACTTTCATCCATTCCATTCTCTCACTGGTTAACTTCCATACCCTTCCAAACAGGTCAGAATTTTCCCACCTCCTCTTCTGTGAAAAGGCATAAAATGTTCTCACACAAAAGCAGCATATACAACCTTCCAGCCTACCAAAATCTATAAAATATTATTTAAACAATTGCTCTGAAGCCTATCTGGTCTTTTTTATTCGTCGGCGCCTTTAAATTTTTATTCATCAGTGCCTTTAAATTTTTATTTAATATTCTCTGATTTTTGGATACCAACAAAAGGTACATTTTAAAGGCTCTGGTGAGAATTCTGGACCTTCTTTGGGGGTTTATATGTAAACTAGGATACTTTTGTAGGAAAGTAACAGGAACCCTGACTCAATCTGGCTTAAACAATAAGAAACTTTATCTCACACATTAGGATGTCCAAAAGTAGGGATGAATACAGGGCAAGTTTACTAAGTGGCTCAATAGTGGTACCAGGGATCCATATTCTGTCTTTGCTCTGTCCTCTTTCGTGTAGCAGCAAGTGGTCCAGCCGTCATGTACAGAGAAACAAAATTTTCTTGTGATTTACTCAGAATAACTCTCCCTAACCCCCACATCCTATGACTAGTCAGAATTGGTTTTTGATTCCCAAGAGTGATGGATTACCATGATGGTTTCATTATTGGTTTTTAACATGGGCTTCATATATCACTTAGGAGTGTGGGGAAGCTTTTAAAATTCCCATGCCTGAATCCCATTCAAATAGATTCTGATTCTGAAGGCCTGGACATTGGGATTTTCAGAAAACTTCCTAAGGGATTCCAATGTACAGATTGGGGTGAGAATCTCTAGTTGGACTTAAAATGGGTGGCATGGATTTGAGAAGTTAGCTACAATGTTCACTACACATCTGTTTTTTAAATTTGGCTAAAATGCTTTAAAAATATGTTTACATTTATTTCTCAAACAGATATCATGACTATATTTTTGGTTTCTACAAGTTGCATCATGAACCTGCTGAATTCCAGGCTAGAACCCAGCTTCAACAACTTCTTGTCTCAATCACCCTTCAGTCAGAGTGTGATGCTTTTCCCAACATATCTTCAGATGAGTCTTGTAAGTACCTATGCAATATTAGTGTATTATATCCAGAGTGCTCGCTGACAAGGACTTCAGTGCCAAAAGCTGGCTCATGCTAGGAACATTGTGAGTTCTCGACCAGTGAGTTTATGATTCCTATTTTTAAAATAACCTTTATTCCAGCACTTTGGGAGGCCCAGGTGGGCAAATCACAAGGTCAGGAGTTCGAGACCAGTCTGGCCAACATAGTGAAACCCTGTCTGTATTAGAAATACAAAAATTAACTGGACATGGTGGTGTACGCCCAGCTACTCAGGAGGCTGAGGCAGGAGAATCACTTGAACCTGGGAGGCAGAGGTTGTGGTGAGCCAAGATCGTGCCACTGCACTCCAGCCTGGGCAACAGAGTGAGACTCCATCTCAAAATAATAATAATAACCTTTAAAGTCTGACTATAGAAGTAGTACATAGTCTTTGTGGAAAATTTGTAAGTATAGTAAGTGCAGAAGAAGAAGAAATAAATCACTTAATAATCCCAGCAGACAGAATTAATCACTGTCATTTTAGGTGTATTTCTTTTTTTTTTCAGAGTAAAACATTTAAGCATTTTACGTAGACATAAATACAAACATAATAAGCACTGGCATGAAAATGGCAGTAATTCTGTACATGTGCATCATGTATTTTTGTTATATTTTTATACCGCACTTTTGCAAAATATAAACATTTATGAATTTCACTAGTTTTCTGTGATATCATTTTTAATGGCTGAATAATGTTCTGTCACTGTATGGAGAAGCTGACTTGGCTTATCTCTTTTGAATATCTAGGTAATTTCTTAACTTTTATCTTTGAAAACATCTGTTTGTGTCCATGATCTTTATTTATAATCTAATTTTACACAAAGATAATGCAGAGCTGGGGGGAGAGGGTGGGTACAGCAGTTTCATTTGATTGACAGTATAATCAACATTTAGCTGTGTGATTTTGTCCTCATTGTCGCCTAAACGTTATTCTTTAGGGCTTTTCCCAAATTGTTTTAGAAAGAGCAAACAAGTGGACAGAACTTTTCTATAGGTTACACTGCCTAGGAATAATGTGGACTTGCACAAAGGAATAGAAGAAGGGCAGTATAAGGACACATGTAACATAAGATTAGTGCAAGAGAGAGCAGACAGGGGAACTGAGTGTAAAGATAGAGACTGGGCGCAGTGGCTCACATCTGTAATCCCAGCACTTTGGGAGGTCAAGGTGGGTGGATCACTTGAGACCAGGAGTTCAAGACCAGCCTGGCCAATATGGTGAAACCTGTCTCTACTAAAAAATACAAAAACTTAGCTGGGTGTGGTGGTGTGTACCTGTAATCCCAGCTACTCGGGAAGCTGAGGCAGGAGAATCACTTGAACCCAGGAGTCAGAGGTTGCAGCGAGCCGAGGTCACACCGCCACACTCCAGCCTGGGATACAGAGTGAGACTGTCTCAAAAAAAAAGAAAAGAAAAAGGATGCCACAAATTTAGAGAAAAGAGCAACTCCTTTATCCCTAGAATGCCTCACAGTTAAGTATGTCTTCATCCTGCTGGTTTAGATGAGATTTTTCAATAATACATTTCTTTGAAAAAGAGCTTTCTTTCTCTTCAATTCTGCAGCTGTTCTTAGACGAGAAATGGGAAAATTCACCAACATCAGATATTATTTCAACTGATACTCTGCACTCAGACACCACGTGAATTAGGTTTTGCAACCTGAATTGAGATGGAAATGGTCATTACGTTGCCAAGGAATCTTTGCTGTCTGTTGGCAGTATAGATAACAAACTGTAAATTCCACAAAACGAAATGTATCGAGACTGGAGAGTCATAGCTTATCTTCGAGTCAGTTCTACAAACCCTCTTTATTCTGAAAGGGAAGTTTCTTGAGACAAGGTGATTGCGAAATTTTCCTCTGAAGTATAAACTAGCTTTTAGTCTTTAAACTAGTTGGTGATGGTGATGATAAAAGTAACACATATGAATGGAAACAACAAGATATCAAAGGTCCAGAGTAGGAGGACATGTTGGAGGAAGTGATACATGTTAAAGCACCACTATTTATTAAAAATAAAAATATGCATGCCCTGAGATGTGGGCTAGCTTTTACTGCATATGAATTGACACGTAAATCAGCAGTTTGCCTGTAATGTGAAGAATTGTCAACAAAACTCAATGTCCATCAGTAGAGGAATGGCTAAATACATCTTGTCAATCCATACTAAACGGTATGATTACAACAGTGAAGAATAAAGAAGCAGTGTTACAGAGAACACACATGGAGAACTGCCAAGATAAACTGCTGAGTTAAAGAAAGCTGTATAATAATGTGTAGAGGTGGACCCCGTTTACATATCAACACACATGCAGGAACACACGCACAAAGCAGTATTTCCTCCCTCCACGTACATCTATGTCAAGCCTAAGAAAAGGCCCGATAATTGCTTCCTTCCTCCGAGGAAGAGAGAGGGAGGTGGGTGGGTATCTCAAAGGAGGTTTTAGCCTTATCTATGTTGTTTTTAAAGGAGAATATATGGCTACGTTATTTGTATATCCACCCTTCAAAACAAATGTATTTATGGTGCAAAAAGATACAGAAGGGGCTTACTGAAAAGTAAATGATGTCATTCCTTTCCCACTTCAGGGAAGTGATCATTGTTAACACTAATAACTTGATTTTGAAGTAAAAATGGACATTCTGTAGCTATGTGTCCATATATTTGGAAAATCAAATCTCTCTCTAATTGTTATATATATTTTCCACTGAGTTGAATTAGTCCTTTTTAGTATCAGCCACTTGTCAGCCATTCGAAAATAATTGGTATCAAGTATATGCAATATATTAAGGTTTTTAGGTGACTCTTTGTGCTATTCCTGGGAGATCTCAAAACTAGAATGTGGCAAAAAGTCTTTTTAAATGATGACCAGTGGAGCAGTGAGCTCTAGGTAGCTGATTCAGAATTTGATATAGGCTGGGTGCAGTGGGTGACACCTGTAATCCCAACACTTTGGGAGGCTGAGGCTGGTAGATGGCTTGAGCCCAGGAGCTCAAGACCAGCCTGGGCAACATGACAAAACACCATCTCCACAAAAAAAAAAAAAAAAAAAAAAAGCCAGGCGTGGTGGCACATCTATAGTTCCACCAGGAGGCAGGTCGCGGGTGCAGTGAACTGTGATCATGCCACTCCACTCCAGCCTGGGCAACAGACTGAGACTTTGTCTCAACAACAGCATCTATTTGCTGTAGATGGAGAGGAAACATAGTTAGACTATGCTCATAAATAGCAATATAGTTCTTAGCCTGGCATTGACTAACTCATCACTGTGGTCGCCTAATGGAAAAGGCTATCTTGTCATAAGACTGTCACCTGAGATGCTCACACTATTGACAGAGCACTTTTGCCTACCTGCAGCTAACTATCCTGTGAGCATCTGGATGGAGGTGGTGGTAGAAGGTGATAAACCAGCCCAGTATTAAATCATTAACCTCCAGGCCTTCAGTGTCTTTGCTGTGGCAAGGTCCACAGCTGTTACACCCTTTAAAGCTGTTGTAAATCTCTGTACCCTCTGTGGGTTTACTATGTCTGTGGTTGGCTCCACTCCAGACCTCTCTAAAAGGCTAAATGACTAAATGGGCCAACCTTAGGCAGAGTATGTTCAAAGATCGAAAGATTAGCCTCTCACCAGAAGTAGCTAACTAGAGCCCCCCTCTAGATGGTGTGAACTTTTAATTGAGTGGGACAAAGCTGAATTATTTTTGAGGGGGACAAAGCTGAACTAAGCCAAGGGGATTTGGTAAGTCTTAAGGCAGATTTGGATGATACTGAGGGAAGGTGGGTACAGGGCAAATTGAAAAACTGAAGGCAAAATAGTGGTGATAACTCTCTGGCCTTAAGGAAAATCAATTTGAGTGATACCTGGGGTGTCACCAAGGACTAGTAGAAACTGAGGCATGTTTGCGTTTTTCAACTAAACTCTTAGCTTAACTAGGACACTACTCTGTTGAGAAGTTGGAGAGACTAACTCTCTTGGAGGGGAAAATGAGGAAACATGGAGATGACACCCAAATTCCTGACCTGAGTGACTCAAGTGACTGGATGGTGGTGCTGTGACTCACTGAAATGAGGAACACAGGAGCCCAGCAGGTTGAAGTGTGTGGAGGAGGGGGGAGGGAAGGGTTCTGTGGGGGCATGCGGAGTTGAAAGAATCTACAGGACATCCAAATGGAGATGTACAGGAGGCAGTTGGAGAAGTAGGTCATGTGCTCGGGAGAAAATAATGGTCCAGAAATATCAATGATATGTTTAGGAAACTTATTGTGTGTCATGGAGGGATTAACAAAAGTTTGTGTGTGATTTTAAATCCTCAATACAGATACTTTACTTGTGAGAGAACCAGTGGCTGTCCTGAAGGCCAACAGAGTTTGGGGAGCATTACGAGGTAAGTGAACATGCAGTTTCATTGTTAACTTTCCAGTAAAGGGAAATTTTCAGTTGGTGCTTTGTGAAATCAAGCACAGCAAAACTGTGCTGCCCTGGATCCTTTACAGAATGCTTTGTTACGTAGTTCCAAAATGATTTCCATTGCACACGTACTACTTAAAGCATGGAGAGGCTGGGCACGGTGGCTCACGCCTTTAACGCCAGCACCTAGAGAGGCTGAGACTGGTGATGATTGCCTGAGCTCAGGAGTCTGAGACCAGCCTGAGCTACGTGGCGCAACCTCATCTCCACAAAAAATACAAAAATTAGCCAGGCACAGTGGCGTAGACTTGTAGTCTCAGCTACTCTGAAGGCTGAGGTGGGAGGATTGCTTGAGCCCAGGACATTGAGGCTGTAGTGAGCCTAGATCACATCACTGCACTCTAGCCTGGGCAACAGAGCAAGACCCCTGTCTCAAAAAAATAAATAAGCATAGGAGAACACTCATTTGACCTTTCAAAAAGTGTCTGAAGGTTATTACATTCCTACAGTGCTGTAATTCATGGATGCTCTTGGGCCTGTAATGTTTATAGCACTACACATGCCCCAGCCTGTTCTGATTGGGGAATTTTGTTTCAGCTGTCACTTCTGTTGCCTTCAGAAGCAAGCATCTCTCCTCCCTCATTTTAAATTCCTGTGGATTTAGAAACATAACTAAGTTTGTATAAGGAACAGTGTAAACATGCAAACAAGCTCTAGAGTTGGTTAGAGGCAATATAACTTTAAAGACTTTTCCTGAGAATTTCAGGGTCTGAACTTCAAAGTGTGACATCAGGACATTTGCTGTTCAAAAGTTTCTTTCACCTTTCTCTCTAGGCAGATAAGATACTGTACTGACTTCTAAATATCAGAGTTTTTAGAAAGGGAATTTAAAAAAATATGAACTAACCAAATTTATAGTAATTAAAATAAATTTTAATTACTATAAATTAATTATACTATACTATACTTTATATAATTTTTTTTATAATTTATATAGTATAAATTAATTATACTATACTATAGTATAATTATAAAATTATACTATAATTTTATAATTATAATTATACTATAATTTTAATTTATAGTAATTATATTACTATACAGTAATTTAATTCATGTCTGTAATCCCAGCACTTTGGAGGTCGAGGCAGGCAGATCACTTGAGGTCAGGAGTTCGAGACCAGACTGGCCAACATGGTGAAACCCCATCTCTACTAAAAATACAAAAAAAAACTAGCTGGGCATGGTGGCACATGCCTGTAATCCCAGCTACTTGGGAGGGTGAGGCAGGAGAACAGCTTGAACCCAGGAGATGGAAGTTGTAGTGAGCTGAGATTGCACCACTTCATTCCAGCCTGGGGTACAGGGTGAGACTCCTCCTCAAAAGACAAAATACAGGTTTGGGATTTGACTCAGATTGAGTGTTACCTAAAATAATCATTGTTATGCTATATATTTTCATACCCATAAGAATATTTTAATTTTATTCAAAATAGAATATGAAAATATCTAGATATTTACAACAAATGTAATTTTATTTATGCATAATATTAGTGATTTTAAGTTTTTATTCATCTGATCTGCCTGTCTTGTCTGTGTCTGGTAAGGAGAAGAGACGCTTATTGATGTTTGTTCTGATCCATACCAAAATAAAGAACTCTAGCAAGGCTGGGCATGGTGGCTCATCCCTATAATCCCAACATTTTGGGAGGCTGAGGTGATTGGATCACTTAAAGTCAGGAGTTCGAGACCAGTCTGGTCAACACAGTGAAACCCCGTCTGTACTAAAAATACAAAAATCAGCCAGGCGTGGTGGCACACGCTTGTAGTCCCAGCTACTTGGGAGGCTGAGGCAGGAGAAGTGCTTGAACCCGAGAGGCGGACGTTGCAATGAGCTGAGATCACGCTACTGCCCTCCATCCTGGGTGGCAAAGTGGGACACTGTCTCAAAAAAAAAAAAAAAAAAGCAAAACGAAACTCTAGCGAGTATGTAGTGACTAGATTTCTACTCCAAGAAGTCCTTATTTTCTGTTTACCATCAGACTTTCAGAGTAATGGACTCTAAACTGATCATTACCGAGTGCAATGTCACTTAACAGAAACTTTCAAAGTTATTCTTCCCAGCATGAACATGAGCTTGACGCGGTGGGGAGAGGAAGGCATAGAAAAATGACTGAACTCTTCTTAGTTTAAAAATTCTCTGGCTCTGTAACCGTCAGCTAGAATGAGGAATCTGAATAAAGTCAAGGCCAGTTAGAGCCTGTCAACTAGTATATTAAGGGAATAATCCACTTGAGTAAAAAATGTCCAGAAGGTAGTCTTTGCAGCTATAAGTAAAACTGTATATTGTAAATTGACCTTTATAGTTTCATGGTGGTTTTTCCAGCCATTTTTCCCTGTTACATTTAGGTACCTTCTAAAAGTGACTATAATATTTGATTATAAAATTTCTTTCTCATAATGCTACAAATTTATCCAGAAACTGATATTTTATTAAATTACTATTATTTTGTGTTTATTGAAACAAACCCCAGGGTACAGGTACAATGAAGTAAAGCACTTTTATTAGATGAGTAGAGAAGGGCAAGGATTTTTTAAAAATTTGGCTTTGATTTAGAAATTATGGTAGAGGGTATAGCTATAACAATATATTTTAGAGGATATAGGTATAACACTATATTGAAGTATATTTGCCTTACTTGAGTCTGTTTGAATAATATAACTTTTATCATCTCAATTTGTTGGTTTATAAATTAATGCAATAAATTTTGCTTTCCTCAGGTTTAGAGACCTTTAGCCAGTTAGTTTATCAAGATTCTTATGGGACTGTAAGTATGATTATTGTGTGTACTAAAAATTGTTAGACAAATTACTACTGGTAAAAATGTAACCTGTTTAGCTATTGCTTCCTGAAGGTTTATTTTCCCCAGATATTTATCTTAGCTGGTAAATGTAAATTTCATACTTTTTGTTGTTTTAAATTAATATTTTATCAAATGCTATGTAAATAGATGTAGTCTTCATTGAGTTCAAGACAACAGAAAATTCTAAAACTAAATAATTTATTTTGTCTCTTAGTTCACCATCAATGAATCTACCATTATTGATTCTCCAAGGTTTTCTCATAGAGGAATTTTAATTGATACATCCAGACACTATCTGCCAGTTAAGATTATTCTTAAAACTCTGGTAGGTAATTACTTCATTCTAATCCATTGTGTATTCTGAAGATGTTCCCTTTATGTTGTTACTTCATATTGGTTACTGTTGTGTAGCTTAGAATGGGAGAATTTGTGTAAGTACTGGCATTCTTTCCTCAATCCCTAGGGAAGTGTATTTCCTTAGCTGTGATGTGGAGGTTCCCCTTGAGAGTCACCCTCCTGTTTTCAGTGTGAGAGCCACGTATAACATGTATTTAGCCAAGACTATTAAGAGAAAAACACTGCCCATTGGCCCTTTACATATTCCTCCCTTTTGTCAAATCATGTGTCTAGACTTTTGGTTAGGAATACGTGGTCGCCCAGGCGTGGTGGCTTATACCTGTAATCCCAGCACTTTGGGAGGCCAGGCAGGTGGATCTCCTGAGGTCAGGAGTTCGAGACCAGCCTCACCAACATGGTGAAAGCTCATCTCTACTAAAAATACAAAAATTAGCCAGGCGTAGTAGTTTACACCTGTAATCCCAGCTACTGGGGAGGCTGAGGCAGGAGAACTGCTTGAACCCAGGAGGTGGAGCTTGCAGTGAAACGAGATCGAGCCACTGTATTCCAGCCTAAGCAACAGAGCGAGACTCCATCTCAAAAAAAAAAAGGAATACATGGCCACATACTTTTAGTTAGTGCCCTTTATATATTTGTGACCACCTCTTACTTTTTTTGTAAGTGACATTAGAAAGGAGTCTGGAAGCTCCTTTATTCCTAGGGAAATATTCCAAAGGAATATGGAACCTCAGGGGTGGTATGGGTTAGGAAGAAGGTTGACAATAACTGTTTTCTCCAATGGACTTTTGTTTCTTGGTTAATCCCACCACCATCACCTGCCAATTTGTAGGGGTGGGGAGGTTTTTCTCGTGTTTTTGTGCCTTCACTTAATCACTTATGATTACACTATGCTATTTAAAAACTATTTTTACATTTACATTAATACTCTGCATTTTTTCTCTGAAAGACACTTTTATCACTTTTAAGAAATAAATGCTTAGTGTAAAAAATTTAAACAATATAAATATGCATCAAATAGGCAGTCATCCCATAATTTCATTTGCCAAAGATTGGTATACATTTTTATGTCCTACTTACCTCATTTTAGACTTAAAAAATGAATATATTAGGTGGGGCATGGTGGCTCACACCTGTAATGTCAGCACTTAGGGAAGCAGAGAGAGGTGGATCACTCGAGGTCAGGAGTTCGGGACCAGCCTGACCACCATGGTGAAACCTGTCTCTACTGAAAATACAAAAAATGACCTTGGTGTGGTGGTGCACTCCTGTGATCCCAGCTACTCTGGAGGCTGAGGCATGAGAATCGCTTGAACCTGGGAGAGGCAAGTTGCAGTGAGCCAAGATCGCACCACCTCACTCCAGCCTGGGTGACGAGAACGAGACTCCATCTGAAAACAAACAAACTAAATATATTAACACATACAATGTGACTTTTTTAAAAACTTAAATGAGATCATACTTTTGCCATCCACCTGCCCCTCTTTTTTTTTTTTTTTTTTTTTTTGAGACGGAGTCTTGCTCTGTTACCCAGGCTGGAGTACAGTGGCACAATCTTGGCTCACTGCAACCTTGGCCTCCCAAGGTCAAGTGATTCTCTTGCCTCTGCCTCCTGAGTAGCTGGGATTACAGGCACACCTGCCACCACACCCAGCTAATTTTTGTACTTTCAGTAGAGATAGGGTTTCACCATGTTGGTCAAGCTGATCTCGAACTCCTGACCTCAAGTAATCTGCCCACCTTGGCCTTTCAAAGTGATGTGATTACAGGTGTGAGCCACTGTACCTGGCGTTTGCTACCCTTTCAACAGTTTAATATTTCATTTTATTTAACTAGTCTTATGCTGATGGACATCCAAGTTAATTTACTATGACAAATACTACAACAGTGTTCTTTTATACATATATTTGTACACTTGTCAAGATTATTTCTCGAGGATAAATTCTTAGAAGTGAATTGCTGGGCTTAAGATGTATATGTTTTATTTTTTTGGTACATTTTAGCATTTGGTATATACTGTCAGGCTGCCTTCTAGACAGGTCAGTCATAGCCACATATGCTTCGCCAACAGTGTGGTACATCTTTGCTTTATCTGTTGCTGATCTGACGATAAAATACATCTCCTGGTTTTAATTTGCCCTTCCTTGCTTTTTAGTGAATATAAGCCAATTCTTTTTAACATATTAGGTATTTGTATATTTTATATTATAAACTATAAGGGTTTTTTTTGTTGTTGTTGTTGTTGTTGTTTGAAACAGTCTCACTCTGTCACCCAGGCTGAAGTGCAGTGGTGTGATCTTGGCTCACTGCAGTCTCCTCCTCCTGTGTCTGAGTGATTCTTGTGTCTCGGCTTCCTAAGTAGCTGGGATTACAGGCATGCACCACCACACCCAGATAATTTTTTGTATCTTTAGTAGAGACAGGGTTTCGCCACATTGCCCAGGGTGGTGTGAAACTCCTGAGCTCAGGTAATCTGCTGGCCTCAGCTTCCCAAAATGCTAGGATTACAGGCTTGAGCAACCGTGCCCCAGCTGTATAAGTTTATTTTCTATGTTCATTTTGTCGTCTAGAATGTGAATACCTTCATTATTGATTTAATGTTTTAATGTTATATTTGTCTGTAGATTGTACCACTGATACTTTTATATTTGCTTATATTTATCTTATTTTAAAAATTTAATTAATTTAAATTTTTTATTTAAAAAAAATTTTTTTTTGTTGAGATAGGGTCTCACCATATTGCCCAGCTGGTCTCAAATTCCTGGTGTCAAATGATCCTTCTGTCTTCATCTTCCAAAGTGTTGGGATTATAGGCATGAGCCCTCACACCCCACCTTATATTTGTATTATATACTTATCCATCATACATTGTTGTGAAATTTTTCTAAATTTCTAAATTTGTTTTAATAACTATATAGTGCCTATAGACATTTAAAATTTACTTTTTAAAATTATTTATTTTTTGAGACACTGTTTTGCTTTTGTTGCCCAGGCTGGAGTGCAAGGCACAGTCTCAGCTCACTGCAACTTCCACCTCCCAGATTCAAGCAATTCTCCTGCCTCAGCCTCCTAAGTAGCTGAGATCACAGGTGCCCGCCACCATGCCTGGCTAATTTTTGTATTTTTAGTAGAGACAGGGTTTCACCATGTTGGCCAGGCTGGTCTTGAACTCCTGACCTCAGGTGATCCTCCTGCCTCAGCCTCCCAAAGTGCTAGGATTATAGGCATGAGACCCCAAACCCAGCAAATTTTTTCTTTTTTTATTTTTTAGCAAAAAGCCCAGCTAACATTTTTTTTTTCCTTAACAGATGGGCTTTTGGCATATTTCCCAGGCTGGTCTTGAACTCCTGAGCTCAGGCAATCCACCTGCCTTGGCCTCTCAATGTGCTGGGATTACAGCCATGAGCCACCACACCTAGCCACAAGTTTTTTAAAGGAGGAATGTATTTCAGTCTTATCCTTTCTATCATTTTTGGCTTTGGGAAGTATGCTGAGAGTCCTTCTCTACAACAGGGATATAAATATAAAAATAACCTCTTAAATTTTCTTTTAATATGATTATACTTTTTCTTACTAAATTCTTAATGCCATTAGAATTTAGTGTATCAAACCTGGTAGACATTTTAATTTTCCTTTCCAAATGGTTAGCCAGTAATCCCCTCATTTCTGAGCAATCTACAATTTCCTATTGCTTTCAATTATAATTACTAAATACTACATTCTGATAAACACAGAAGTTACTTTCTGAAGTTATAATCTTTACTAGTTTATCATCTTGGGCCTGTATATATGGTTTTAATTTCTATAGCTTTAGCAGCTTTGATTTTTGTTTTTGTTTATAGTTTGAAGTCTTAAACTTAGGGAAAAGTTGTAAAAAGAGTGCGAAGAACTCGTATATACTCTTTACCCAGATATGCCAATTTCAATTAAAAATTTTTGTTTATTAAATATTAAATTTAAGCATTACATTTGCTTTATTCTTCCTCTCTAAAAATATTTTTTCTAAACCATACGGGTTTAGAACAACATTTGGAAACTATACCCCCTTAATATTTCAGGATGAATTTCTTTAAAAAGGGACATTTAATAACTTCAGTATAACCATCAAAATCAGGAAGTTGACACAATACTGTATCTAATACACAGACCCATTCAAATTTTCATTGATCCAACAATGTCTTTTATAGGTTCCACATCCCATCCGAAATCAGGTGTTGCATTTACTTGTATGTCTTTTCGGCTACTATTAATCTGCAACTGACTGTCTTGTGTTTTAAGACCATGACATTTTTGAAGAGTATAGGCCTGTTAGTTTGTAGAGTATGCCTTAGCTTGTCCATTTTCCACAAGATTAGATTCAGTTATGCCTTTTTGGCAGGAACAAAGCAGAAGTGATGCTATGTTCTTCTCAGTGCCTATCAGGTGACACAATGTCTTGTTTGTTTCATTTCTGGTATTGTTCACTTATAACTTGCCTAATATGTCATCTGCCAGGTTTCTCCACTGTGATGTTAATGAAAAAGCATTTTGGGCTGGGTGCAGTGGCTCACGCCTATAATCCCAACACTTTGGGAGGCCAAGGCGGGTGAATCACCTGAGGTCAGGAGTTCGAGACCAGCCTGGCCAACATGGTAAAACCCCATCTCTGCTAAATACACAAAAATTACCCGGGCGTGGTGGCATATGCCTGTACTCCCATCTACTTGGGAGGCTGAGACAGGAGAAATGCTTGAACCCTGGAAGCTGCAGTGAGCCAAGATGGGTGCCACTGCATTCCAGGCTGGGTGACAGAGCAAGACTCCGTCTCAAAAAAAAAAAAAAAAAAAAAAGCGCTTTGTACTTAATTAAGTATCATATCAGAAGAAATCTTGAGACCTATGTAAAATCCCATTCTTCATCCAGCATTCACTCACTAGTTTTAGCATCCACAGATTGTTCCTGCCTAGATCAATTGTTACTAAGGTGGCTACTAAGTGGTGATTCTTCTAATTCCATCATTCCTTCTGTCATTTATTACTTGGCATTTCACTGTAAGGTAGAGCAATCCCTTCTCTTTCACTTAAGTATTCATTATTTTTATCAGTGTGGATTCATTGATTACTATGTTATTCAGGATTATAATCTGTCACTTTCCCTGTTTAATAGTCAAACTGTCCCAGCTTTGGTCACTGCAAGTTCTTCAAGTTGCCTCTTATATCCCTGGCATGTTCTCTTTAATCTTGGAGCACTTTCTCACTTTTTGGCACATTAGGTTCCAGGCCTGCCTTCCCTGTCCCAGTCTTTTCTGTGTCCTCAGAGTTTTCTTCAAGGAGGCTTTTTAGTGGTGAACATTTTGAAACCTAGGTGTGCTCTAGGTGTGCTCATTGCTACTAGGGTGTCATTGCTTATAGACCATCTGAGCAGAGAGAGCTAGAAAATATGTGTACATATGTATATATACATTTATATGTACACACACACACACATCTTTCCCTATTTTTATATTAGGAGTTGACAAACTATACCCCAAAGGCCAAATCCAGTTCACCATCTATTTTTGCAAACATGGGGCTTTGGGTTTTGTTTTTTTTTTGAGACGGAGTCTCACTCTGTCACCCCTAGGCTGGAATGCAGAGGTTATTAGCTCAGCTCACTGCAGTCTGAGCCTCTCAGGCTCAAGCAATCCTCTCACCTCAGCCTCCAGAATAGGTGGAACTACAGGCATGTGTCATGATGCCAGCGTAATTTCTTAAAAATTTTTTAGTAGAGATGAGGTCTCATTATGTTATTCAGGCTGGCCTCAAACTCCTGGGCCCAAGTGATCTTCCTGCCTCAGCCTCCCAAAGTACTTGGGTTACAGGTGTGAGCCACTGTGTCTGGCCTTGCAAATAAAGTTTACAGGAATATAGCCATGGACATTTGTTTACATATTGTCTCACTCAACAACTGCACAGTAGAGTAGTTGTAACAAACTCTATGGCTTGGAAAGCCAAACTATTTACTGTCTAGCCCTTTATGTAAAATGTTTGCTAACTCCTTTGTCTATGTTAAAAACCACAAGTTTGTATTAGTAAGCTCAATTCCAATTAACACCTGTAATTCTAGCTCCCTTCTCTGAGAGTGAAAGCCCTCCTTTTATCCTCAATATATTTATCTGCACAATCCCCTTGTATGTAAAAGATTTCTTTTCTTTTTTTTTTTTTTTTGAGACAGAGTCTCACTCCGTCGCCCAGGTTGGAGTGCAGTGGCACAGTCTTGGCTCACTGCAACCTCTGCCTCCTGGGTTCAAGCGATTCTCCTGCCTCAGCCTCCCAGGTAGCTGGGACTACAGGTATGTGCCACCATGCCCAGCTAGTTTTTTGTATTTTTTAGTAGAGACGGGTTTCACCATGTTGGCCAGGCTGGTCTTGATCTCCTGACCTTGTGATCCACACGCCCCAGCCTCCCAAAGTGCTGGGATTACAGGTGTGAGCCACTGCATCTGGCCTAAAAAAGATTTCTTAACTGCATCAGCAAAATCCCTTCAGCCTTGATGAAGAAGGTGTCTTTAAGTTTTGATGATCTTGTTGGACAAATCTTCTCCCTTACTATTTTTCATCTTTTAAAAATAGTGTTTATATTTTATATAAATATTCTATTGGTTATTCCTCTAGCATATACATAAAATTATTAACTTAATTTGTCCAAAAATTTGTCTGGGACACTCGTATTGAGTTTGCAATGAATTTCTTGGTTGGGACTCAAATTTCAGAACTGTGGAATTGTAAGTCCTGATACTTAAATGAATGCTCCATTTTTCCTTTGCCGTATTCCCAAACAGTGGCAGCCAAGAACCATTTTGCATTGTTGGCAGACTCCTAGATATTGGGAATTTATAAGCTTGCCCTCCTCCCATAGAGCAAAGTTACAACTCACTGTCTAGAAAAAATATGATGTTTCCAGAGGATTTTTCAATACTGACATGTCATGTGAAGTATATATGATGAAGAATTTCTATTTCTTCTCATTCTTTTTTTGCTGAAAAATAAATTTTGGTCAGGCATGGTGGCTCATCCTTGTAATCCCAGCACTTTGGGAGGCTGAGGCGGGCAGATGGCTTGAGCCCAGAAGTTCCAGGTGAGCTTGGGCAACATGACAAAACTCTGTTTCTATAAAAAAATACAAAAATTAGCCGGGCATGGTGGTGGGCGCCTGTAGTCCCAGCTACTCAAAGGCTGAAGTGGGAGGATCACTTGAGACTGAGAGGTCAAGGCTGCAATGAGCTGAGATCATGCCATACTCCAGCTTGGGCAAGAATGAGACCCTGTCTCAAAACAAAAAAATATATATCTTTAAAGGAAGCAGACATATTGGAAGCAATTCCAGATGTAGACAGGTAATATGGATTGTATATGATATCTGTAGTATATACTTTTTAAATATGTTTGCTTACAGGATGCCATGGCTTTTAATAAGTTTAATGTTCTTCACTGGCACATAGTTGACGACCAGTCTTTCCCCTATCAGAGCATCGCTTTTCCTGAGTTAAGCAATAAAGTGAGTAAACTGTATTGTAGTCTGTCTACAAAAACTTTGGGTATTGTTTCATTACAAGTTTGTGGCTTAAATGTTTATTCTTACGGATAGAATCAAAGTGTAAAAATTAGATGCTTATGGTTTGTAATTTTTTTTACCTCCATAAAACTTTTTTTGTTATTGCTATAACTCACTGTATTGTTATTGTAAATATAAACAATCTCTGGAGAAGTAAAAATAGAAATTTAACAACTCAAGGTAGAAGACTTGAATAATTCTCAAATTACATATGGTTAAGATAATATATTTATCAAGTTGTCCAACAGTGCATTTGTTATAAACATAATTCTTTGGAAATCCCTAAATGATGATTTTTCTCTCTGAAAAACTACATGAAGTAGGGAATTTTAGAGTGAGAGCGCTTTCTTAGAAAACAATGGTAGTCTCAGTTGACAGTGTTCAAACTGACTGTATTATGGACCAGTGGAGCTGGGAGGGATCCCAGTATCCCCTAGTTTGATATTCCTGTAATACAAAGAAGGTATCTGACATCCAGAGAAGTGACGTGCCTTGTCTGAAGTTGTAGTTAGGAAGGGACAGAGCCAGGACTCTAAATTCCATCCTTTGGCCGTAATTCCAAAACTTTCTCCAGTGTTACGTATGTAGGCTAAAATGCTCACAGCACTTGTGTTTTTGTTTCCTTTTGTTTTACTTTTTATTATGGCAAATTTCAAACATATACAGATATAGAATAGTTTAATGAATTCCCATGTTCTCATCACGCATATTCAAAAATGAATACATGGTCAATCTTGTATCACTTAAACTCCTGCAGACAAGCCCTGCCCTGCCCTCCATCACCATATCTCACCATAAAAAGGCCTGTTTTTAAGGAAAAATAATCATAATACATGACTGCAGCTAAAGAATTAAGAGTAATCTAGACACCCAATCAATATTCACATTTCTCCAGGTGTCTTTTCCTCTTATTTAAAAAATTATTTTAAAAAATTTGCAGTGGGATACAAATAAGCTCCATAACTGTGGTGAGTTAATGTCTAGTAATTCTCTTTTGATCTGTGGGTCCCCTCTTCCCACTTCTTTTTTCTCCTGGAATTTGTTGTTGAAGAAACTGAATCATGTGTCCTACAGTTTCCCCCAGTCTGGGTTTTGCTGATTGCACCCCATAGTGTCCATTAACATGTCCCTGTATTTACTATAAAGTGGTAGTTAAATCTTGTCTTGGTCAAAATTTGATTTGTAGTGCTAGGAGACAAGACTACTTTTCAGGGATTGAGCACTTATAACCAATAGTTTGATAAATGTGCTAGGAACACCTTTCATGGAACTTTAGTTACAGACAATATTGAGTTCTAATTTTTCAAGTGACCTATAAAGGGACTAAGGTAATCATTCAAAATAATCAAGTCACTTATCATAGAGTCTACAGGGGAATTTTTCAAGCTGATAGTAATTGAAGATGATGTTCCTTTGAAGGACAATAGCTATGCTTTGTAATGAGTGAATTCTGACCCTAAAATTGACAAGAGCAGTGTTTTCAGAAGTTTCACTTCGGAGACATTTGTTTTGTTGTATGCTTACATGGAAGCTGAAACAGCATGACAGTAGACACTCTTGAAACAGGAGGTACTGACAGAGATAGATATTTCTATCAGTAAATCTGGGATTAGCCCAAAGCATACTGAGAATTTATTGCTAAAATATGGAAAACAAATGATTTGACAAAAGCCTCGATAGCTATCATCCTTTGAGTATGTGTGACTTAGTAGAAATTTTCTTTCTGAAATTTTCTATTCCTAAAACTATGGTACTATATTATTTTTAAATGAGTCATCTAACATCACATGAAACTAATATATAGTCATAGTGAAAAAATTAGCTGTCAGATATCAAATGCAAGCACAATTGTTAACAATTTCCAGAATCAAATCTACATTGTACGTTTTAACTTGAATAAATATGGCTTTTACAGGGAAGCTATTCTTTGTCTCACATTTATACACCAAATGATGTCCATATGGTGATTGAATATGCCAGATTACGAGGAATTCGAGTCCTGCCAGAATTTGATACCCCTGGACATACATTATCTTGGGGAAAAGGTAAGGAGTTGTATTTTATTTTATTTTAATTATTATTTTTAGACAGTCTTGCTCTGTCACCCAAGCTGAAGTGCCATGGTGCAATCTCAGCTCACTGCAACCTCTGCCTCCCAGGATCAAGTGATTCTCCTGCCTCAGCCTCCTGAGTAGCTGGGACTACAGGCACGTGCCACCACACCCAGCTAATTTTTGGTATTTTTAGTAGAGATGAAGTTTCACTGTGTTAGCCAGGATCTCCTGACCTTGTGATCTGCCCACCTCAACCTCCCAAAGTGCTGGGATTATAGGCGTGAGACACTGTGCCTGTCCAGGAGTTGTATTTTGTAAGTTGCAGAAGTGAATATTTGAGGTCTCACACTTCTTATTTTATGACCTAGTGTTTGCTCATTTTAATTGTGATTGGCATATAAGTAACACCGTTGACAGATACGATTCAATAACTACTGTGTGTCTATTGTGAGCAAGTCATTGTGAGCAGGTACTGCCTAAAGTATTAAAAAGGGATATATACTGCTTTAAATAATAAACTGAGCATATCAAACTTCCAGTTGGACAGACTGGAGTTCTGGACCAAAAAGGTGATAGTGGGAATGGAAAATAATGGACAGAACTGACAGACATTTTGGAAAAATCCATAGAACTTGGCAACTGATTGGCTCTAAGAGAGGGAAGAGGTATATACTCTAGGATGATGATGGTACCCTCACTAGAATACAAAAACCAGGAGAAGCTGGAGAAGGGAGCTTAGTGACTGCAGATGTTGTTTTTTGTTAGCTTGTATTTGAAGTACAGCTAGGATTTCCAGTTGTATTCAGCAGGGAATTTGAAATATGAATTGAAGCTCAAGAGAAAGGGTTGAGGAAAGCTGAAGATTTTGGAGTTATTAACATTTAAAGTAGATAAAATCTCAGATATAAAGGGAAACAAAGAGGCAAAGAGACAGGATTCAGGAAACAATTCCTTGTCTTATTTGGAAGAAATTACTAACTTAGTAAACATGCTTATCTTTTGTGCATAAAATCTTGTAGCTTCAATAAAATGATGAAAACCAGATCTTTATAATGAGTATACTACTTTTAAAAAGAATCTTAATATTTTCTTCTAGGTCAGAAAGACCTCCTGACTCCATGTTACAATAGAAAAAACAAGTTGGACTCTTTTGGACCTATAAACCCTATTCTGAATACAACATACAGCTTCCTTACTACATTTTTCCAAGAAATTAGTGAGGTGTTTCCAGATCAGTTCATTCATTTGGGAGGAGATGAAGTGGAATTTAAATGTTGGTAAGATGATTCCTTAACACCCACTTTAAAAAAAAAAAAAAAAAAAGAGGCCGGGTGCAATGGCTCACACCTGTAATCCCAGCACTTTGGGAGGCCAAGGCAGGCAGATCACCTGAGGTCAGGAGTTCAAGACCAGTCCAGCCAACACAGTGAAACCCCATCTCTACTAAAAATACAAAAATTAGCTGGGAGTGGTGGTGGGTGCCTGTAATCCCAGCTATGTGGGAGGCTGAGGCAGAAGAATCTCTTGAATCCCAGAAAAGGAGATTGCAGTGAGCTGAGATCATGCCACTGCACTCCATACTGGGAGACAGAGCAAGACTCCAGTGGGGGTGTGGGGGGGAGCCAAAAAACAAAAAAACCTGTTGCATTGAAGTAGCTATAGTGGGCTCCACACCATAAGGAAGACTTGAGTAACATCCCTGCTCGTAAGGGTTTAAACTGGGCAACACGACTCCTGAGATCGTAGATTTTTCTAGAATGTACATTTGGGTGGTATGGCAAAGCAAAGCTTAAGAAAGAAAAACAAGATGCAGAAAAAAATGGAGATTCAAAAAAAAAAAGATTACCATGAAATGAGAACGCCTTTAGTGAAGGAGGTCAGTGATTAAATGGGGAAGGTTTTTCAAATAAAAATTCTCTCTGCAAATGGCTTTAGATGGAGGAGAAAGGTGGGTAGGGTAGAGCTACAGGAAATCAGCTTCTTGAAAAAACTCTTTGCAATGGATAATTAAGATAACTCATAATTAAGTTTTTAGGCATTTTACTAACAAACTTTAATAGTTTTAAGTCTGCACAACTGATGCTAGGGATATATACTGCTTTAAATAATAAACTGAGCATATCAAACTTGTAATGAAATTTTAATTACTTTTTGCTTTAGGGAATCAAATCCAAAAATTCAAGACTTCATGAGGCAAAAAGGCTTTGGCACAGATTTTAAAAAACTTGAATCTTTCTACATTCAAAAGTAAGTTGTTTGAAAGCCTATTTCTGTATTTCATTAATACTTTTTGTAAAAGTTTATTCAGTAATATGCTTTATTTTTACGTTTTCTCTACATCCTTTGTCTAAGTGTAGATGTGAAAAATCACTAAAGGAAGCAATACCCACTGCTCGGTTTAAATCAGTAACATGGCGACTCCAAGTATTTTGCAATAGCTGTTGAAATATCGGAAGGCAGTCATCTGTTCTAAAAACTCAGCTTGGGCTGAGGCATGGTGGCTCACACCTGTAATCCCAGCACTTTGGAAGGCCAAGGCAGGCAGGTCACCGGAGGCCAGGAGTTTGAGACCAGCCTGGCCAACATGGTGAAACCCCATCTCTATGGAAAAAAACAAAAATTAGTCAGGCATGGTGGCGGGTGGCTGTAATCCCAGCTACCTGGGAGGCTGAGGCAGAAGAATCTCTTGAACCCAGGAGGTGGAGGTTGTAGTGAGCCAAGACTGCACCACTGCACTCCAGCCTGGGCAACAGAGTGAGACTGTCTCAAATCAATACCTCCCTCTCTCTCTCTCTCTCTCTCTCTCTCTCTCTCTCTCTCTCTCTCTCTCACAGTTGAATACCTGGCTACTCTGTGAAATCTTCACTAACATTCTTCATTCCATTTTGTCAATTCCAGGAGCATTTCTTTTACTTTATACCTATGCTATCCCATAAAGTAGCCATAGCCAAGGTGTCTGTCTGTACGTAAATTAATTAAAATTAATGAAAGTTAAAAATTCAGCTACTCAGTTGCATTAGCCACATGTCATGTGTTCAACAGCCAGCTGATGCTACTGACTGTCAAACTGAAAAGTGCATATAAATACATTTCCATCCCAGGAAGTTCTACTGGACAGTGCTGCTCTACAGGGATTGGCAAACTTTTTCTGTAAAGGGTCAGAGAGTTTAGGCTTCATGGGTGACATATAATTGCACATCCTTTAAAAAAAAAAAAAAAAAAAAAACTTAAAAATTTTAAAACTTAAAAGAAACGTTTTACAAATGTAAAAACCATTCTTAGCTCAAGTCCATAGAACAACAGCCCGCAAGCTATAGCTGCCAACCCTTATGCTGTACCATTTATTTGGCAAGCCCAGGTTCCAGCCTTTGCCTATTCAGCTTTTTGTGTGATGCATTTTAATTTTATCTACAGAGCACCTGGCATTGTCTAAATATCTATAAATATTTGTGGACTGATTGTCAGCAACTCTTATATGTAATTTATGTGATATGACAGGCTAGGTTATGGTCCCTGCCATTTTAAGACAGCCATAAAATTATGAGAGATTGCTGTTTGTACAATTTCCTATGAGTTACCTCCCAACTCAACTTGGGGCCACTTCTTCCTATCTCAGGAGCATACTTATTCATTCAGCAAGTGATTATTAAACCCTTATACTATGTTAGGTTCTGTATCATATGCTAATAAGGGGGCACTACTTGTGACACTTCCCAACTTTAGCTGCTTGTGCTGTAAAGCTGTACTATACTGAAAGGCCTCTCAACAATGCAAGTAATCATTGGTAGAAAATGTACATTTTAAACATATTGTTAAGCTTGTGATCTAAAAATAACTAAGTTTTTTTGTAATACTAGGCTTTTGGATATTATTGCAACCATAAAAAAGGGATCCATTGTCTGGCAGGAGGTTTTTGATGATAAAGTGAAGGTGAGCATTGTGAAGACTGTATCTGATCAGTTTAAGAGACTTATTTTTCTTGGGGCAATTGGGAATTTGCAAGTCTAGCTACTAGTATTACCTTTCCAGAGTGGCTAGTGACCACTTTGGACCTCATAATGTAGAAATGAGATGAAAATGCAAGTCTCAGCCTTAGTTAACTGAACCTCTGTGGTACCATATGTAAGCAAAACTTAAATATCCAAACTTAAGGTTGATGAAACTTGTCATTTTAAGTCCCTACAATGAATATCACATGGCACTAACTCTGAAGGGGAAAAAGAAAATGTAGATTTTTTTTAAGGATCTTAGAAAATTATGTTCCTAGTAATAACGCCTTAAACTTTCCATTTCTTCTACTATGTTCTAGACCTAATAATATGTATTGCTATTTATAACTTTAATAGCTTGAGCCAGGCACAATAGTTGAAGTGTGGAAAGACAGCAGGTATCCTGAGGAACTCAGTAGAGTCACAGCGTCTGGCTTCCCTGCAATCCTTTCTGCTCCTTGGTACTTAGATTTGATTAGTTATGGACAAGATTGGAGGAAATACTATAAAGTGGAACCTCTTGATTTTGGTGGTAAGTAAAGCAACCATTGTTACCTTTGTTTTATGAGTTTTCTTCCCTAACCTCCCACCTCAGAAATCCTTACCTAGATATTACCTACCAACTATCCTCCCTTTTATGTTTGATCCTTGATTTTGTGTACTTTTTTAAAGCTCAGTATCATTTTACACTCTCAAGAAACCATATAGTTGCCTAAATTCAAGAACTTCAAAAGTATTATAGATCCCTTTAAACTTTATCTCCATTTTCACTGATGGGTCCTCCCTCTCTACATTTGAAAGCTATTTGATTGCATTAACCTTGTATGTCCTCTTCTGAACTGCTTCTCCAATGTAAGACACCTAGGCAAAGCTATAGTTTTAGTTCAGTGGATTTCAGGCTATGTTGTCTTAGGATTCTGAGTGTAGAATCATTGGTGGAGGGAACAGTAGAAGGGGACATCTGAAGGGTGGAGCTTCAGGCTCTCAGAACCCTTCATAAAGAACAGTTCTACTTTGTCCAATTTTGTACATCAGCCTTTAGTACAAAAGCCTTGGAAAAGGATTTTGCTATTTAAAAAAGTTTTAAAACGGTACATCTATTAAGAATTGGTAATTTTCTACACAATGCATTTTATGAGGATCAAAAAGTGCTAATGACCGATTTTAAAAAAAAAAAGTACTCAGTTTTTGTTTTAAATGCCAAGAGGCAGAAATTACAGGCAGGCATGGTGGTCACAGTCCACTGAAAAATAAACTAGTATTCCAACTTATATTCCCTACATACTACTAAATAGGCAATCAGGGATTTGAAAAATGGTTTCTGGTGTCCAGATAAGTTTGCATAAAAACTAAAATAAAACTTTTTAATACTGGCCCACCACGTTAATCCATGGTGCTAACATGTGCTGTGAACCACGCGCGGGAATAAAGTCTGCAACCATTTTTTTGCAGGAGTGGGGGGGTACCTTTTTTTTTTCTTTTTTACCACAGTCATTAACATCTCCCAAGGTCCTGCTGACCACAGGAGAGAAATGTTGCCCTAGGATAAAGACAGAGGAAACAAATTTGATAAATTAATATTGCCTCTGTGTGTAAGCTTTGAACTTCTGAACTTAATTCAGTGATTTTAATTTAGGTACACAGGAACAGAAACAACTTGTCATTGGTGGAGAAGCTTGTCTATGGGGAGAATATGTGGATGCAACTAACCTCACTCCAAGATTATGGTATGGGATTTATGTAGTGACATTTGAGTTAAGAATTGAGGTTGCCTTAGCTTTCCTTCTCCATCTAAGCATGAAAGTACTAAACATGAATTTAAACTGCCTGGGGGGATATGTGACTTAAATTATATGTGACTTAAATATTAGGCCTCGGGCAAGTGCTGTTGGTGAGAGACTCTGGAGTTCCAAGGATGTCAGAAATCTGGATGATGCCTATGACAGACTGACAAGGCACCGCTGCAGAATGGTCAAGTAAGAAATATTTCTCAAGCTAGGATACTATTAAGTCCAGTATGATTTTTAACCTTCTTATTCAGTATTAACTAGTTTCTTATTATAAATAGAAATGTATGTTACCTAAGTAGTAGTAACTAGGAGAAACTGGGAATTATTTTTTGTAGGTAAGAGAATAATACCTATAAGAAGAAGATATATTCAGACTTAGGACTGTTTTATAGATACATAAAATTTTGGTGTAACTTAGAACTCATCTTCAGTCGCTTTTTCTTCCCTTATATTCAGTAATGCTGTGATTTAGTGATTCTAATTTAGGCTTCTAAGTTAAGATGACATGAATTATATCAATCTAAAATATCTTTATTCATGTTATCTATCTACAGACGTGGAATAGCTGCACAACCTCTTTTTGCTGGATATTGTAACCATGAGAACATGTAAAAATGGAGGGGAAAGAAGGCCATAGCAATCTGTACTACAATCAACTTCATTTCAAAATTGTGTAAATTAAGATATTAGACTGTTTTTTGAATAAAATATTTTTATTGATTGAACCTCTATCTTATATATAAAGCCTGACATCTTTCTTGTGAGACAAGCTTGAAGACACACAAGAAACACAACTTCGTGATACCACTCTTCCAGAGTTGAGTGTTTACTACTAAGAGTAATAACTTCATAGATGAACAGCATGATTCAGGTACATTGGCTTTAAATTAAAACAGGTGCCACTATCAAAGCTTATCTAGTTCTTTCATCCAATAAAGCAATAAAAATTGCTCTTACTGAAAATGAAGTAGCCAGGTGCTCCTGAATTCCTCTCCAACAACTAAAACGTTTAGGTCAAACCACTTCTCCGGTTGAGCAGTGTATTTTGATCTTGAGGATTCATGGCTTGATAAGTAGATAGTTCCAACGCAAAAGTAGCTGAGCCTGATGTTAGCGTTCGAAGTGCAGTTGAATAACCCTAATCAAAATAATTTAAGTCCTTTATCTTATCAAATTTAAGCCTCAAGTTTTTCTTCCTGCTATCCTTTGACTATTATCAGGGAAAAGTGATGTCGCCACTCATGTGGCTTAGCCATATCACTTCCTTCAAAGAGATCATTTCATTTTTTGCATGGTAAGTTGGATATAAAAATATTGAGGACAGAAAGCAAAATAGTGCACTTGTGCTGCAGATGTATTCTGTGGTGCCGGCATTCGGTTACATGGCTCTGCCCTTCCTGCTACTCTGCTGGCAGCCCAGGTGCCTGTCCTAGAGCACAAGAGGCTGAAGCGGGAGAAGAATGATACTTGCCTTAAAACTGGCAAAGGTAGAAGAAATGTTTGGAAGGGAAAAAATGGCCATATAGACTGGCACCACATTTTGGTACAGCACACCCTCAAACTTTGTGGTCTTAGGACTGTAAATACCCACTTGAAGTGCTATATATGATCCCTGGATTTCCTCAACAATTTAAATTCAAAGTCCTAACACTTGCCGCTGGTTGAAACTCAACATGTATTCTCTAAATCAAAGCCTTGAGGCTTTTTTGAGGTTACTGATTGTCTATTCATTGGCATATTATATCCCCTGAATTAAGAATATGTACTTTTCAGTCACAAAGGTACCTACCATAATTTCTGCTAAGGGAACAAAACCAATAACAACTTTGTTGTCCTGGCGAGTCTGAATTTCCTGAATGTTTCCTCTTCTTTGTGCCAGATCTCCCAGGACAGGGCTGAGATAATCTCTAGCTACTGTAACCTCCAGATTCATCAGAGGCTCCAAAACTTGCTTATCAGCTTTCTTCAGAGCCTAAAGAAATTAAAGAATGTTAACCCCTCTTTCATAAATAAAAACTTAAATACTGCCATACTCTTAAGCCAGAACTCATACAAAAATATATAAGCTTGCTTTAACTCTTTAAAGGTAACATTTTCTAAGAAGTCAAGAACCTCAATGTTTGCTTGTATAGGAATGATAACAGAATTTATAGCTCTCTTGTGTGATTCAAGGGGGTGTTTAGAAAAAAGTCTGATTATAAAAACTGCCTGTGAACATGTGGTCAGTGTCACAGAAGTCCTCCCCTTTCAAAGATTCATTTATTCTATTTAAACCTGTTTCTGTTCCTGATGTCTATAATTATAGTCCATGCCACATACCAGAGAGAGCAATAAAGAGGGAGCTTTAAAAAAATGAAAAATTTAATGCAATAAGGTAGTAGAAACATGGTGTAAAATAAATCTTTTAGGCCAGGTGTGATGGCTCACACCTGTAATCTCAGCACTTTGGGAGGCCGAGGCAGGTGGTTCACGAGGTAAAGAGTTCGAGACCAGCCTGGCCAACATAGGGAAACCCCATCTGCACTAAAACTGTAAAAAATTAGCTGGGCGCAGTGGTGGGTGCCTGTAATCCCAGCTACTCAGGAGACTGAAGCAAGAGAATCACTTGAACCCAGGAGGTGGAGGTTGCAGTGAGCCACTGCACTCCAGCCCAGGCGACAGAGCAAGATTCTGTCTCAAAAAAAAAAAAAAAAAAAAATCTTTTCTTGCATAACTATCCATTTACAATCTTAGATTTCAAAGGCCAAGAAGAACATGCATATAAAGAATGTGGAAACTGAAAATGTCTTTCAGAATAAAATAATGGAATTGAAAAAGATGTAAAAATTAAGAAGAAAAATGCTACAACAAAGAAAGGGATTGAATTCTGTGTATCTAACTAAGGCATATCATACTCATGGAACTGTCCTTAGTCCTCTTTTCACAGTCCTTCCCTAGCAATATTACCTATCTGGAGAGCTTTAAAAATGCTTTCAACATGGCTTCCTCAAAAACTTTAAATCCTATGCAGCCCATAGTTTCTGAGTGCTCCAGTCTTGTACTCCATTGGCCTGCTTTGGGATAGTGCCTGAGTATCCTACAGCTTTCCAAGGTAAGGCTAAGTAAGCACAGCTGTCTGCAAGATCCGTGGTACTATACTCAGAAGAATCACCTTAAAGCAATAAGGATTAGGATACTTCTATACCTTTTGTACACATCTTGAGACACAGGCAGAAATCATAGTTGTGGAGGTACCAGGATGAACTGTCAGGGAATGTAAAGTAATTGCTACATCTTGAACTGGGGATCCAAGCAGTGGTCCTAGACAAGAAAAAAAAAATTGCATCATACTATGCTCGATGGGTAGTGATAAGTAACTGAGAAGTGCAAAGAAATAGAAAACACTAACAAAGTTAGGAAAAAGACTGAAATAATCTGTAAATATACAGAGTGATTAAATGGTTGAGTGTGCTACTAATGCTTACTCTCCTTTGAGTGACTTACCTTGGAGGCATGCACTGTGAATTCCATTTTCAATGGCCTGTTGGGAGACCTTCAAAAGTTCTTCACTGATACTTTCAGCATACTCTATCACTGGCATAAGAGACGATGTTTCAATTGGCCTTGCTTCCACTTCTACAGTCACAAGATGCCGTTTGTCTCCTAAAGTTCTATCTAAGGTGTCTGTAAACAAATTGAATATGGCACCTCAGAGATTAATTCTGGAAAGCTATCAAGGTACTATAAATGGCAAAATTATCAACAAGCTCAGGGTCTCATACAAGATAAAGTAGGAGACAATATTAACAATGGCACTAAATACAATACAAAAACCAGAGTAAAGAGTTCTATCAACAAAGCATCTGCTTCTATGTAGCTCAATGTTTAAAAGCTGCTTTGCATCACCTGTTATTTTAATGTTAAGATATGTTAAGGCACGTGTTATGAAAATTATACTTTTAAACATTTTGAAATATTTGTAGGTGATTGAAATTCTTTTAGTTACATATTTTTAAATAAAAATATATCAAATGATAAAATCTTTAAATGTACAAAGATAAGCTAATGAAAATTAAATTATTTAAAAAAAAAAAGAAAATTAAATGATTTTTAAATCCTGTCAACTCACAAAAATGTTATGTTGCGTATTTTTCCAGCAATACTGTTTACTATTTCTTTCCCAAAAAACTAGTAAAATTTTTTTGGTAAGATTGAAAACAGTATCTCCTATTTGTTAACAACCAACAATCTCCAATATTTTACTCTGTCTGTTACCAACCTCCAACATTTTACTAAATCAAAACTATGTCATATTTATGAGAGTAACCATGTAATGCAGTGACTCGTGACCCAAATTCAAAACTAAGAATTAATTATAGTCTATAATTCTTCAAAATTCCTTTTTAAGCTCACTTTTATACTGTGAAATATTTTCTATTTAAAATTATATAGGCTGGGTGTGGTGGCTCACACCTGTAATCCCACTCAGCACTTTGGTAGGCCGTGGTGGGAGGATCACTTGAGGCCAGGAATTTGAGACTAGCCTGGGCAATACAGCAAGATTCCATCTCTATAAAAAGTAATAAAAATTAGCTGGTTGTGGTAGTGCACACCTGTAGCCTACTTGGGAGGCTGAGGCAAGAGGATTGCTGGAGTGCAGGAGTTCAAGGCTACAGTGAGCTAAGATCTTGCCATTGTATGCAACAGAGTGAGAGTGTCTCAATATATACATACATGTTTATATATAAGTAACTATACATATAAAATATATATGCACAAGCTAAAAAATGAGCATTCATGAAACTACTAAAAAGAGTATTACCAATAACTAGATGCCTTGTGAAGCAACCACTATCATAGATTATTCTCATTATTTTTTTTAGCATTGTATCAAATATGCATGTATCCCTAATCAATAGTTTACTTCAGCTTCATTTTGAATTTGTTATGCCATATGTATACTGCAACTTGCTTTTTTGTTCCACATGTTTGTGAGAGTTGTCTGGACTATTTTCCAACTCTTGCCCTTCTCCCCAACATCTAACAGTCCGTACTTGTCATCCAGTATAAGGAAGAACCCTCCCTCTTCCCTATTTATCTATGTATTATAAGTATGAACTTAGAAATTATTTTTTCCCAATTGTCTATAATTATTATACTTATCTTGGTATTCAAATTAATCCAGCTTTGGCCAGTAGAGTCTCTTCAAGCTGCTTCCTATGTCCTTATATGCCCTTTTCACCATCATTTTTTGAGCATTTCCTCTCTCACACACAGCATGATATTCCACTACCATTTTTTATGCTTTATTTCGTTTTTAATTAACAAATAATTATATGTATTTATGGGGTACGTGATGTTTCCATACATATATATATACATAATGGAATGATAAAAATCAGGCAAATTAACATATGTATCATGTCAAAAAACTTATTTAAGATTTTAAATATACATCATTAACTACAGTCACTATGCTATGTAGTAGATCATCAGAACCTATTTCTCCTGTCTAACTGAAACTCCGTACCCCACGTCATCAACATCTCTCCCATCTTCCCAACCCTCAGCCTCTGGTAGCAACCATTCTACTCTTTGCTTCTACAAGCTCGACTTTTTAAAATTCCACATATGTGAGATTA